TAGCTAACGGAACCTACTAGAAACTGATTTAATGACGAATGACCCATAGAAGTTGCCATAGGAAACAATCCAAACCTTTCAGATTAGAAGACGATACCATCCCTTTGGGTGGAAGGCCCCTTAATCCACTGTCCTTATTTGGCTTGAAGAAACCACAACCAAAAAGAGCCATCTAAATCTTTGCAATTATTAGCTTATATTTTCATCATTATTTATCTCTCTTTGCTTTGCTTTACTATTGTTCCATCGGTCACTGGGCTTTCTTATTAATATAATGATGCTAATGAGTCTGTTTTTAATTGCTCAATCCATTCTATTAAATTAAAACTAGCTCACACCTCACAAAAAAGAGGCTAGCCCCTGAATTGAGCCACAAGGAAGTTGGCAAATGCCACCCTGAACTCATCACCCACCTGATGAATTAGTAGGTTGGGCTTGTTGGCCCTACTCAGTTATCGGCTTGGCCAACATTAGCATAAAAGCACAAATGAGCGAAACTGCAAGTAAAAAAGGAAAATTTTAAGTTAAGAACCAATATTGAGGGGTATTTGGTCTAATGCCCCTTAAAAATTGTTATTTAATACTCTCTCTTATTTTTTTCCTTCACTCATTCTTTCTCATCTCTTTTTCCACTTATTCTCTTTCCCAACCACATTTTTCATAAACAAAGGTGTTTTTGGAAAATAAATTGTATTTTTTGTACATTTATTGCTTTTAATTAATTTTAGTGACTTTTTTATCGACATGATTCAGTTGATTGTCTCTTATAAAAAGTAAAGAAGGGAGTACTTTCTTTGAATGTATGGAAAAAGGAGAGGAAAGGAGTCTATAAAGGATTAATATAATTTTTAGTTTTTGAAATTTGGATTCATTTAGATTTGGTCCTTCAAATTTAAAATCCATGATCTAAGTCCGTTGAAGTTAATCTACATTAATATTAGTCTTTAGAGGTCAATGATATTAAAATTTATTAAAGTGTCATAAATAACATTAAAGTGGTATAAGCTCACCTAAATTTGTACGTAGTTGGATCTTATGTGAATATATAACAGAAAAAGAACGAATTTTCAAAATACAACACAAAGGATGGTTATGCAAAGGGGGATAGATGCATCAATTTAGAAGATGTTCACTGCGTTGCATTTTGAGAATTCATCCTCTTTGCATAATCATTTTTTGTGCAAACTTATCCCCCAGTATAATTGTTCTCTGGACTGCGTTTTTAGGACCTTCCTTTTTTTTTTTTGGTTATTCACATAAAATCTAATTAGATGCCATCTGGTGAGTTAATATCATCACTTTAATGCCATTTATGATATTTCAGCAAATTTAAATACTATTACACCTTCAGAGACTAATATTTTAAGACAAATTAAATTTTAGAGACTAAAATTGTGAGTTTAAAATGTAAAGAATCAAAACAAAAATTGAGTCCAAATTTCAGGAACCAAAATTTGTATTAATCAAAAATCAAAAAAGAGAGAATAAAATATAATCTTGTCTAACATGTGGTTATTAGTGTATAAACATGTAATCAGAAGGGGTAAAAATTGAAAATGAATTTAATATTCAAGCATCTACAAATTAGATATTAGGATTAAGATTGTGATTGAGAGAGAAAATAAGTTTTAAAATTATGGTTGCCATGTCATAGGATTACTCATGGGATGCATGAATTAAAAAAAAGAAATTTAATTGCAAATTATACAAAGGATCCAAAGTGACCATATCTCAAAAAAAAAAAAAAAAAGGAAGGGAAAAAAAAGCTTCATTGTCTTCACTCCTCTCTAATTAGTTGTTCCTTTCTTCTTTTTCTTCACCTAAATCTGTACTCAGACCTAACATAAATACCAAGATTCAAATCTATCTTTAGAAGCCTCATTGTGCTAGATTCATACGCATAAAACAAAGATCCTAATCTCTCCAGGAAATCAACTTTGTCTAGGAAACTGTTCGTCGTCCACAGATCACAATGGAGGACAAAGTTGGTCGTTGTTGACCATGGTGATTGCAACAAAGGGGAGACTAAGAGGATGGCTGAGGGAGAGGCAGAAATGAGGAGTAATTTGGTCCAAAAATGTTCAACCTTGGAACTGATTTTTCAATACCAAGAGGTGGTGGTAATGATTAATTTTAGAAAAAGTAGCGTATGTGTGCAATCTTTTTTTGTTTTTAAATCTAATTTGATCTTTTATTAAGAAAAGGTAATTAAGATTAAGAAAATTTTCAACTTTGCTCTTTTCTTCTTTAAAAAAAAACCTAAGAAAGTCGTATTTGAAGTTCTTTTATGAAGGACCCGTTTGGTTGGAAAAAGAAGGGAATGGAAAATTTTTGACCGAGAGTCTTTAAGCATTGAAATAGAAAATAAGCTGATAAAAAATTTTTAAAACTCACAAAATATTTTATGTATTAAAATACGTCTTAGGGTGGGGTAGAATATTGACCTATGAGTTCAAATTCCTAAGTTGGGGGGATGGGCCAGGCTTTGTCGCGCATATAAATAAAGTTATCGGGAAACCATCAGAGACAAAACAACAGGCGAAATATATTGGTCCAAGTAGTAAAGATTTAGATATTTTGGGTTTGATCCTTAGGATACTATGTATAGAGAAAAATGTTGTTAGAAGAGATCTTTATTGCGATCTCTGGTAATATTCTGAGAGATTAGTTTTTTGCTATTTAGTGGGAAAATATTCTGAGCAACCAATAAAACAAGCGAATATGGGAATATGGGAAAGTATGGAAAAGTTCCTAACTATGAATGAAAAAAAGCCAATCCAATCCCGCTGCCCACAGAATGGATCTCACCAAATTCAGAATTGATGGCAAAAATTAAAAGAAAATAAATCCAGAATTGAATTTACCTTTTATTTTTTATTAGGAGTTATTTAAATATTTTCACATGTCAATCCAAATTTAAACAGGCTAGGTTGTTTGGAATAGTGATTAAAGTCTCTAAAATTAACTTTCCAATAGTCATTTATGGAATATAAAAATATATGAAAAAAAATTTGTCTCAAACTATAGGACAAATTGTTAACCATTATACCGAAGTTATAAAAATTTTCAAAAAAATTGTTTTCTGCTGCCGGAGCTCCGGCGACTAATTGTTGAATTTTCTAAAAAACCTATTGTTAACTAATATACTAAAATTGCTAAATAAGCTTATAACAGGCTACATGCCAGGTTTAGGCCTACTTGCTACAAAATAGGCTTGACCTCTTAAGAGTAAGGCCTAACGTCTGGCTTGTTTTCACTTCTAACTACCTTCAATCCTAAATATAAGAATTAGTTGTAGATTGAATTTGATACTAAATATAAGATCATAATCTATATCTTTCATATTTATCCATTCTATCCCAAGTAATTTCTTATAATGATTGCATATGTTAAGGAGTTTCTATTAATGATTAGTTCAACACATATAATTAACAAAGTATTTTAGAAAAGATAACATTTATTTATTACAAAAAATTAACTTAATTAATTTTTTAATATTCACAAATTAACCTAACTCTTATATTAGGGAGTGAAAGGATTATATATGCCTTCAAAAGTCCTCACCAACTCTAATTTCTTCTCTCTCTTGCGTTTCAAAAATCATAAGCAGCACATTTTTACTTATGATTTTTCATACCACTTATTGTTGCAATTTTAATTCATTAACTTTTATATTTTTTTAACTGTATCTTGAGATATACAAATCTGTATAAAGTTTTAGAATAAATTATACTGTTGATAACTTATTACTATCAATGAGAATCAATATAAATCAGGCAAAAAAAAATGAGAATCAATATAAAAAGCCTTCTTTTCCATTTAGGGTGAAAAGAATTTTGGGAGAATGATAAAAAAAAAAGTTAGAAATTACTAAATCCTAATACATGTTTGGTAACAATATTATATTTAGTGTTGATAACACTGAATTTGTAAATAACGATAAATTTTTATTGACATTTTTTATTTAGCAGTTACAAATTTTTAGCTTCTTTTTTTGTTTTTTTTTCAAATTTTTTTTGTACTAGCAAATTTTTTTTTGAGAAATACATGTTTTTTTTAATAGGCTTCAACTCAATTTATTACTCTCCCAATTTAAAATATAAGCTAAACTTTATTGGAAGGTATATTTTTTTATAAAATAATATTCACTTTTGTCTAAACATTTAATGAGTTTTTTTTCCAATTTTATCTCCTATATATTTTCTTTTCTCTTTCATTTATTCATTATATCTTTTATTTATTCTTTTCATTAATAAGAACATATTTTTTAAAAAATACATATTTTATATATTTATTGTTTTAAAGTGATTATAATTAGTTTCTTAATAAATATACTTCCTCCGTCTCTTATTATAAGATTCTTTTAACTAAATTACTTAGTTTAAGAAAACAGTTAAAAGTAGTTAAAAACAATTAATACGTAGCAAATATAATTTTTTTAAAATATACTTCTATATATAAATAGATAAATATGAGAGAATAATAATAAAATAAATAAAAAATATATTAAAGGTATTAAATTAAAAATAAACTGAGTAATAATATATTAAACGTTCAGATAAATTAAAAAAAATCTTATAAAATAAGATATATCCTGTTAAAAAATTAGATTTTATAAAAAAATGGAAAAGTAAATAGATAAAATTTAGAAACCTTACTTTGCGTGTTTCCAGATTCCAGTTCCACCAACGATTTATTTCCTCACTACAAAATTAAATCATGCTCATGTAAAATAGAATATCTGAATTAATTTCCAAGTCCAGTCAAAAGCAGAACACGTCGTCGTGCTTGCATTAAATTATAGGTCTCTTTTCTCATGCATTGAAAAGAAAAGCTAATTATACGGTAATATGCCCATGACTCCAAAAGCTGCCCTCCACGTCGTTCTTTCAATCAGACACTGTTCTTTGTTTTTTTTTAATGATAGTTTTGCATTCTTCTCCTTTTTCTGCCTTATCCCCACGAAATTTCCCAAATTTCAAACTTCAAAGTTCTACACTTATCTCTTTTCTAACTTTCCCAACAGAAACCGCGTTTTCTTGCTCCTTGGTCATTTTCTCCCGTTTCTCTATCCTGATTCGCTGATCCTGAACCATCTAAGAAGCTCCCTTCTTGGTCTTCTTTTGCTGCTTCTTCAAAACCCCATTTTTCGATCTCAGAGTTATGATTTTCGGTTGCTAGCTAGGAGGAAGTGGTTCAGTGAGCTTAACCACATGGCTGAAAGCGGTGAGGAGAAGTTATTGGCTATGGCGCGCCACATAGCAAAGACGTTGGCTCAAGATAACAGCATTGCTGATGATATTCTGCAAATTTTCTCCAACTTTGATAGGAGATTTTCGCGGGAGAAGTTGTCGGAGATAAGCGGCGGCGATCATCCCCGAGGCTATGTTTCTCTGGAAAATAGCCTCAACTCTATCGATCGTCGGATCTCACACTATGTTTCATTCGATCAGCCCATTTGGGCGGACGCGGCTGACGCCGCTGCCTTTCTCGAAGCCATCGATGAGTTGATTGCCACCATCGGTGAGTGGAGCCCCATGGCGGCTGATGAGACTGTTGGCGCGTTCTTGGTACGCGCCGACGACATGCTTCAGCAGGCCATGTTTCGTGCGGAGGACGAATTCAGGTCTCTGATGGAAAGCGGGGGCGAGTCGTTTGACCTGACTCGGGCGGACTGGAAAAGCGAGTCAACTCGCAACCTGCCTTCTGACTCGGAGGAGGACGAAGATGCTAAAGCCGAAGCGGTCATAAGAAACAGTGACGATTATCAGATTCCGTTGGCGAAGCCGGTGTCTGATTACGACGTCGTACTTGATGCTCTACCTTCGGGAACAATTCAGGACCTTCACGAAATTGCGAAACGCATGGTGGCTGCTGGATTTGGGAAGGAGTGCGCACACATGTATAGCAGCTGCCGAAGAGAATTTGTAGAGGAGAGCTTGTCGCGACTAGGGTTACAGAAGCTAAGCATCGAAGACGTTCACAAGATGCCTTTGCAAGACCTCGAAGATGAGATTGCAAGATGGATCAAAGCTTGCAATGTTGCTCTTCGGATTTTATTTCCTAGCGAACAACGAATCTGCAATCGCGTTTTCTTCGGCCTCTCCTCTGTTTCTGATCTCTCTTTGATGGAGATTTGCCGAAGATCGACACTTCAGCTACTCAATTTTGCTGACGCCGTTGCAATTGGGAGCCGCTCACCAGAGCGTTTGTTCCGAATCCTTGATGTGTTTGAAACATTGAGGGACCTTATTCCCGAATTCGAATCCTTGTTTTCCGATCAGTACTCTGTGTTTCTGAAAAACGAAGCAATCACAATCTGGAATAGATTGGGTGAGGCAATTAAAGGCATTTTCATGGAACTTGAGAACCTGATTCGACGTGACCCGACAAAAGCAGCAGTTCCTGGTGGTGGGCTTCACCCAATTACCCGCTACGTGATGAACTACCTCCGAGCAGCATGTCGTTCTTGCCAGACCCTCGAACAGGTTTTTGAAGACGGTGGGCCATCACTGAAGGACTACACGAAGCTTGACGAAAGCAACGCATCGTCATCTTCACTTTCTGTGCAAATGGCATGGATCATGGAATTATTAGAGAGCAATTTGGAAGCCAAATCCAAAATTTACAGAGACCCAGGATTGTGCTCTGTTTTTATGATGAACAATGGGAGATATATGGTTCAGAAGGCAAGAGATACTGAACTCGGAACCCTTTTGGGTGATGATTGGATTCGAAAACACACGGCAAAAGTCCGGCAATACCATGTAAGCTATCAAAGAAGCTCATGGAGCAAGTTGCTGGGTTTGTTAAAAATAGAAAGTGGATCATTATCATCTAATGTAGTTGCAAAATCTATGAAGGAGAAGATCAAATCTTTCAACATGCAGTTTGAAGATATATGCAGGCTTCAGTCCACATGGGTTATCTATGATGATCAACTAAGAGAAGAGATAAGGATTGCTCTGGAAAGAATATTGCTTCCTGCGTATGGGAACTTCATTAAAAGGTTTGAGAATGTTCCAGAACTTGGGAAGCATGCTGAGAAATATATCAAGTATGGGGTGGAGGACATCGAAGCAAAGCTTCAGGATTTGTTTCACGGAAACAGTGGATCAGCTGGTAGCCGAAGGTGACGATGATTTTTGTCCCCCTCCCTGAAAAGGAAAAGTCACTATATTGCTGTGTATATGTAAAAAGTTACAGTGTATGATAGAAAACAAAGTTTTTATTAACATAGCTCAAACAGTACTGCCATGGGCATGAAGGATTTGGGGTCTTGAGATGTATTAGGCATACAATATTGTAGGGTTGGTTTTTTTAAAATTTTTTTTGTCAGCATCCCTTTCTTGGGAGAATACTTTTTGTAAAAGCATACTAAATTATCTTATGAAACGTAATAAAGTAGGCTTCATCTGATGTTATAATATCCATGAGAAGGCTTACGCATCTAAGCTTGAATATCCTGTCCTTTTTTCTTGACGAGTTCTTTGGTGAGTCGATAAAGTCCAATTGTTCATTGTCGTGAGTCTCCAATGGTTAAAAGATGGTTCCATCCACGAGAAAAGTTTTCAAAGGTTGGTTTCCATAAAGAGTTTCAAATGATGGGCTTCTGATTTAGTGATGAGTATGATCTGTTAGCTTTCTCTCCTTTTACTGAAAGGATGAAATGGATATGTTTAATCATTTCATTATTTCTTGTTTCTTTTTATTTTTTTCTCTCATGCTAATTGCTTGACCGAATCTCAATTTACATATCTTGAGTGTTGCCACAGCATCGGCAAATCCTCCTCAGTTCATTCATCTTTGCCACATACCTCCCAGCGGACCTGTCAAAGTCAAGTCAAGTTGCCTTTAGTTGGAAAAGGTTTGACTTTTGACAGGTAATTAAAACAAGTGATGGTTTTGCGATGGAATATCCCCTTTTGTTTAATCATGGTTTTACAGCAAGCTTTTGCATATTTATTTTTGGTTATATTGTAAATTACTGATGACTTGGTGTTACTGTTATTGGTCACTAAGTTGCTTTCTTACCTATCTTCTCTGTATATTCATTGTTGTAATGATTTTATGTGTAAATAACCATTATATGGGATTTTAGACACATTTTGCTTTTGTTATTTCAATGTTAATTCTCACATATTATTTTTGCCTTATCATATTTAGTTATTTTATATGCAAATCATTAGTGGTGGTGGCTACAACATCAAGACTGGACCAGGCTATTCAGTTGAAACCATGAAATTTGATGTGGGTGGTAAAGTTGCAGTTTTAGGCACAATGGAAGCGCTGGTTCAGTTTAAACCTCCCGAGTAGAGTTTATTTGTTTGTGTCATTATTCTTGACCACTCGAAAGCAACAGATATTCTCCAGATTAATTGACTTATATGTAAATTGCTTCGTTCCATCTTTTTTTGTTATGCCAAGCCTTTTTGAGAAAATGGTGCAGAAAAGTTGTCTTAGTTTTTAAATTTTCATAGTTGATCTAATGTTATTGTATTTCATATTATACTATAATTTGGAAGGACTGTGCACTTTAAGGTGCAATGCAAGTTCATTTTTGTAGTTGCTTTCAGGAATATGATAAGTGGAAACTGGCACGAGGCTTGAATGCATTGTCACAGTTTCCAATGGAAAGACCAGAGAGATAAGGATTTACTTGGTTCATGATTTACTGATATTTCATCTAACTTATTGCATAAAGTATTGAATAAAAAATATGTTAATTTTGACTAAAATCTTACCATTGCATTACAATCTTATCATCTGAACCTAGTTTTGTGTGATGCTTAAATCTATTCACTTTGTTTCTAGATAATTAACAGTGTCGTATGTATTCTTGTTGTTGCAGAATCACTAAAGTGTAACTGGTGTTTCTTTGAAACTTCAATTTGGATAAATGTTTCTTCTTCTTTTTCATCATTTCCGACGCAAACTCTTTGCTGAATGAGCAAAACAACTTTGATGTTGTGCTACGATGCATGATGTTGAGTGTTTATGTTATGTTATTTAAGTGCAGTTCTAAATCCTACATTAAGAAATAATGGTCTTATAGTTTAGTGGCATGTAAGCTCTTGTATAAATGTCAGGTCATGTGTTTGATCCTACTTGTAACATTAGACCATTAGTGCCTACCTAGGGGTGAGCAAATTAGAACTGAAACCAAAAACTGAACTGAACTCAATTCTGTTTTTTAGGCTCGGTTAATTCAGTTTTTGATTTGGTTTCTATTTATACAACTTCCAGTTTTCGGTTCTTAATGCGGTTAATATTAACAAAATTGTTTTTAATCGAAAAACTGAAATAAAAAAGGAAAACATGGGCCCTCATGTGATTTCTCCTTGTCTCTTCCCAAGTCCAAAGTCCAAGTCCAACATATTAAAATTGTTTTTAAAAAAAATGTTGCGGTGCTACCCCAATCAGAATCCAGAGTAGCCAAGTTCTCCGCTCCCCCGAATCTCTCCTTGTCGGCATTGTATAAATCTCTGGCCAGCTCTCCACCACCATCTCCATTCTCGGACGCATTGTAGTATCAGTGCATATCACTTGACAGGTGAGAGAGGAATTGGAGCGGACACTTTGGGTAGATCGAAGTGAAGGTAACACAGTCGCGGTCCTCACCCTCTTGCGTCCACTTGACATTGCCGTCGCCTCAGCGCTCTATCCTCACAAGCTTCGAGTACCCTTCCTTCTGCTCATCCATCTCTCTTATTCTGGTCAAGTTTTTCTCCATTTGTTTGGAACCAAGCACACTATATTTGAATTTTGGAACTGGAACCTTCCGATTTTTGATCCCATTGTTGAGTATTCAAAGCTACTTTTGTCATACCATATTCTAAATTGTGTTGAAATCTTTGGTGCTCAGATTTTCATCTTTGTTATTAGACGGATGATGATGGGCTGTTATGGATTGAGATATAGAACCCAAATTTTGTGCATTTGTTGCCTTGAGTTGGCGGTTCCCAATCCCTTCAGTAAAATAGAGCCCTTCCTTCTTTGTTGTTTGTTTTAATTTTTCTTTCTGGTAAGTTCCAGGAAGGGATATAGATGTTTTATGTACTATGCTTCTTTCGATCTTGTTGAGATTGTTTAGTTTGTATTTTGAATTTAGGTTTGCTTGTTGAGAATTTAGAAATTCTAACTGGATTGAAAATAAATAAAAAAGATCCCAAAACCAATCAAAAAACCAAAAACCGAACTGAAATATTTTGGTCAATTCGATTCGGTTAATCTCCATTGATCAGTTTCGGTTCGGTTATAAAAATTAATCCAATTTGGTTTTTCAGTTTTCAGAATGCTCACCCCTCCTATCAGTTTTTTTTTTTTTTTAAACGAAGAAAAATATGTTGCTATACTATCTTTTTGTATTTTTCAGTGATTTGTGGCATCAGCTGGAAAAAGAGTTAAATCTAAAGAGAAAATGGCATTAGTTTCCTTTGATGGTATGCTAAAGTTCATCCTAATTGAGGTCTCCCTCTGTTTTATATAACAACAATAACTAGTTTTATCCTGCTGAGTGGGATTGGCTGTATTCTATTAACAACGAAATCTTTGAATAAATTGTCAACCAAAAGACCCCTTTCAGTAACTAAATTTGACCTAGCTTGACCTATTTTATCTACTTGAGAGTTTGAGAAACCTAAATTTGAGGATAACCAACTGACTGTCGTTAGGAGCTAGATTGCTTAGGCTGCAGCAATTGAGTGGTATTAGTGTACCATCTTTTCAGATGAGTTTCGATTTACTAATCAGCTGTTAGTGATTGAGTTTCTTTTCCCTCCCCCCTTTTGACTTCGTGTTACTTACCAGATCTTTTTTTCAATTGCGATATAAAGAGATGTTTAGAACAGTTATTTTTGACTTTGGACTTCTGGTGGTTTTCCTTTTCAGCCTTTTTTCTTTGGTCCCTGCATCGTTGGAATCATTCACAACTCCAATGCTCTTTTTCCCTAGATGTTAGGATGGAGATTTTCTCGTATTTGAGTTACAAGTAATAAATCTATCAACATGCAAAATTTAACCAGCATATGGAAGTATACCTTATTGTTATCTTTTGGTCGTATCAATTCTACTATTAGGAATCCGACATCTTTTGGTCGTATCAATTCTACTATTAGGAATCCGACATATATTTGCTGGCTCACATTCTTCTCTTATGTTCACTTATCTTATAATTTGTTCAGCTATGCAGCTTTGCCGTTAGTATGTCACTGATTCTAAAGTCCAGTTTTTTAGATTGTTTGATTCTTGGTTCGATCTCTTATGTTTGCTTATATTCTGTCACGTTAACACGTGGTGCTAGAAATGCCTATATTTTTGGCCAAAAGAGAAAGAGAGAAATGCCTATATTTTCTGTCATAAATTTGCGTACATTGAAAAAATGAAATTAGTGCTTACTCGGCAATACATTATTTTTGTCCTGCATTCTCAAAGTGTATGAAAATCCATGATGTGAAATTCATTTTGGCTTCATGTTGGATCTACTTAGCAATAAATTGCTCAGCTTTATCATAGGAATGCATGGGAACTCTGTATTCATGTTCAAGGAGGCATTAAGAATTATGTTGTCCAAGAAAGTCTCAAGGCCTTGACAAGCTAGGGAACACCAAAGAGGTTCAACCTCCCAATGATGTTATGCTTTAACCTTATGCTTTAATGCATCTCACATGACGAAAATTGTAACATTCCCAATAATTTGACTTGTACGTTAGAAACTTGCTTGTGTAGACATGATACTACGCGATATAGTAATGCTTTGTGCCTTTGACTCAATGACACGGCAGCGCCTCTAATTGATAGATTGTGAATTTGATCTCACATTTGTATCATTATTAACTAGCTGTTAGTGCTCACTCTGGTAATTCAAAAACAGATATGGTAATGCCTTGGAAAAAGCTAGGGATCTATGCTGTTGTATCCTAAAGAAAATATGATATATGCTATGTAAAATGCTAGAGCAATTGAAGTTTCTTGTGTCATACTAATAGAAATCAGTAAGCATCATAGGTGACCCTAAACAAGCAGCACCTCCTCTCTATCCGTTATGAAGTACTTCTATTAGATTAGCTTTAGAGAATAGATCTAAGTAAAATAGATTCTGTGAAGGAAACAAAATAATTATTGGAAGTTGTTCTCCCTAGCTTACTATGGTTTTCCTGGAAAAAATAGATTGAGGAAAAAATGAGTAGTTTATACTTAAACCATGATTTTGGTGAGAAAGTGGAAATTTTTTGGGGCCACCTCCCCACCCCAAGAAAGGGAAAATCATGGTTTTGAGGGAGCATTCAAATGCACATGTTATGCTTTTAAAAGGGAAAACTCTTCTTTTTTTCAAGAAAGAAAGTAGTGACAAATGGCTAAAATGTCCAATATTCCATAACAGATTCTCCTCATAGAAACTGGAATGTTTCAAAAGGGAAACCTACAGGAGAGGAAATGAATCTTTATAGACTCTGTTTTGGGACGGGGTTATTGCAAATCAATATAAAACAAAAGAACTAGTTTCAGTGCTCATCGCACCTTAAATTCATTAAATTTGGATCGTTTATATCTCATTTGGATGATCAAGATTTGATTTTTTTTTTATTTTTATTTGTTCAAAATAATTATTTTAATATGGATGAAATCAAATATAAAGATAATCTCTTAACTATCATTTTTTCAAAAAATATTTTTTATTTAAAATAATTAATTAAAAATTTTAAATCTGGACTGTTCATATCAGATATAGACGATTCAGATCTAATAAGCTTAGGATACTTATCAGAGCGATGAGTACCGAAACTGGTTTCATAAAGGAAGGGACCACAAAATCTTTCTTTAGAAACTTGGGATTTCTCTGATTTTTTTTTTGGGCCAGATTAGGATTTCTCTGATTTGTGTAACTGTTTCGTTATTTATTTCAATGTTATTGGTAATATGATCAAGTTTAATAAAAATGTTTTTTACTATTGATATTTAAAAGGATCTCACTTATTATAGTTTATTAATTTACTCATACTGTTAATTAAAAATATTATTTAAAAACGTCATGTTACTAATAATTATCTTTTGTCCATCATTTTATCACTAATAATAGTTAAAAGCAATCATTTTATATTCTATATACTTTGGGCATTACTGTCTTCGCATTTTAATCTACCATATTATTTTCATCCAACTAAACATAATTTAATGAGAAAATGACTATATAATGCCTGTTGAATTTTAAAATGATAAATAGGTGATGCTAACTATTCTGATACATAAATATCAAACATATGTTAGATAGTCATTTTGAGTGTTCCCATTTTAACGCATTTGAAAACATGTTGCCATATGATGATGTCAGTTTATCTAAAACCATATATTAAAAATATTAAACTTGAACATAAATGTCTTTCAAGTATGGAATTTTACATATTTGTTTAGTTAAGACAAATCCATTTGGACCAGCTTAAAACAACAAGCACGTGTATTTCACACTGTAATCTGGTCAAATGGCATTACTATAGAGTAATTTGGAAACCAAATTCAAAATCTACGAAGTTCCTTGGACTGTGCTCTGTTTTCATTATGAACAAACGGGGAAATATTTCTATAAAAACACCAAATTATCGGATGAAATATTACAAAGTAAACTTGCTTATGGGATTATATGAGAATGCCCACATCTAAGCTTGAATATCTTCTACCTTTTCTTTTCTTCTAATCCATGAAGTCATTAACATTTGTCAGTATCCTCAAATGATCTAATGTGTGAACTCACATATCTAAGCTTGAATGTGCTCTGTTGTCCCCCCCCCCCCTGACTCTGGTGACTTGTACCAGTATCCTCAAATCCCACATTTCAGCATCTCACACTGATACTGATGAACTCTCGGATGAGTCGGTCGGGTCGAGTTGTTCGTTCTCATGATTCTGCAATGGTTGATAAGGGGTTCTATCAAAGAAAAAAGCTTTGAAAGGTTGGTTACTTGCATTAGTTGCATAAAGAGTTTCAAAAGATGAGTTTCTCTCCTTTGTAATAGGCTTACCATGGTTATGAGTACCCTTATAAACCACATCACAGATCTGTCCATTTACATAACTCTCCACTCTCTTCTTTACTGGGCACTTTGGAATTGAGCATTTGTAGAAACTCATTTGCTTTTCACTTCCTTTCACTTGTTTTACTTCATATTTCTTCCAATTGTACTCATCACCAGACATTGTTTGTAATATCTGTGATTGAGGACCATTGCCAGTATCATCAATTTCTCTCACAGAATCAATTTCCATTTCTATTTGTGACACAGATTGGTGATCTTGAGCTTGAGTGGCTTCTATTTGTGACTGATTAGGACAAGGACGAGAACGAAGAACAATGATGAAATAGCAGAAAATGGCAGCTAGGAAGCCAAGCATCAAGTGAACTTTCATGAGTTGAACGGTGAGACAACCTAGGAAGAAAGTGAGAAGATCACCTTCGAATCCGAGGTTGGTGTGCTTTGATAAGCTTAAGGACATTAAAGAAAAGGAAGCACAAGAGATCAAGCTGAATATGTCCGGTTTTCCCCTGACTGATTTATCGGAGAAGAATGAGTAAAATGTTGTGATCATCAGAACCAAGAAACCCAAATGAACTTTGAGCAAGAAACTCCTTGAGAGTCTCAGTTTCTGAGAAAATAAGAATAAGCTCGTTATGCATAAACTTACCACGCAGTAGATTATGAGCTTGAAAGAGTTCCATTCACCAAATAGTTGGCGGAAAGAGGAACTCAAAGCGTAACAGATAAGACCAACAAGGCTTGAAAACAAACCCAGAAATCTCCATAGCTTCCGATGAATCAAGGGACTTGGAATTCGAAGACGAATTCTTGGCCTTGCCATTTGTTTCTCTCCACTAGGGTTCTTAACCATTCGCTTCCGTGGTATAGTATCCCTTTGTCTTTTATTTTCTCCTTTCAAAGTTTGACGCTTTGAAAGTGACCTACAACTAATCTCCTTTTTTTTTTTTTATTCTAAATTTCTTACTTTGGATACTCTTTGAAAAATCATCCTTTCGATTCAAATATAAAAGACTATGTACCTAATAGAAATACATGTGTTGATTTACTGTTTTAATCATTGGCATTGAATTGTACTACTTTTTTATGCAAAACCCATCTTAATATGCATCATCAATTGGAAGAGTTTAGGAAAAAAATTTATAAATTTTGAACAAGCTAGATTTTAAGGTTTTTCTTTTGGTGGGAAAAGATCATTCTGCCGACATCAGTTAATTCTCAAGAAAAACTAGATATACTTAATTTTATTCCAAAAACATATTATAGCTAATCCTTTATATCTAAGTATGAGAGTTGGGTGACTAATGTGAAGAGATTAAAAAAATTTAGTTAATTATAAAAAATATATGTTTGTTTTATTGAACTACTATTTTTAATTATTTTCATTGGAATTGTCTTACTTTTTTTTAATGTAAAATCCCCCTTTACATTAATAAGAAGAGTTTTAAAAAAATCATAAATTTTGAAGATAAGGCTTTCTCGAAAAAGGTCATCTGTTGATATAAGTTAGTCTTCAAGAAAAACTAGACGCACTCAATTTTGTTCCCTTTGATTTTTAGCACAAGTCTCTTCCAACTAATTCACACATAACAATAAAAATAGTTTTTTTTACCACAAAAATATAATTCAAGTTATTTTCAATGTTACTCCTTATTAACTACATCAAACCCCGATATCATATTAATTTCTAATCCTTCCCACGTGTATGGGAAAAAAAATATTTAATGCTTCTTGAAATTAACACCAAAAATCCCGTCTAGCTAATTGGTGCCTTATAATAAGAATAAGATATATGGATGGAGTGTTGTTTTCTCTCGCCCTCAAAGATCCAACGATGATCTCAAGCTTTGAAGTTAGGATGAATGTTAATACGTCAAACCAGAGAGAGATATGCACACAAGATGGATATGCCTCCTCAATTTGATTAAGTCAAATTAGATGTTGACAATTATATCAATCATAGATGGATGACGGTATTGATGACATTATTGTTTGAACTTCTTGGTAACTTAGAAGGACTTAAATTTCATTAGGAGGAGAGATGCGAAAAAGTCGATGTCTACAACAATTCGATGGAAGCTCTTAACCTTGTGGGAAAAAAAAACTTGTGTTAAAACCATCTATTAATCAAATACTACCTTCGGTTTTTAATATAATACTTCATTAAAAATTAGTTTTAGTCTTAAATATAAGACTCTAATTCACATTGTCTCCCATATTTATAGTTTTTTTCTCTAAAATATTCCTATTAATTGTAAGTGTTTCCACCTTGGGAGGATTCTAATATACATGATTAAAAAGCTGTTTTGCTAACGAATAAGCAAGGGCTCGAGCACAAACACATGAAAGTGGGTGCGCATTAGATGTAAGCTAACACATATTTATTATAAATAAATAACTTTTAATTTCACCCCTATAATAAATGAGAAAAAAATGAAAGAGAATTTATAGAAAAATATAATGAGAGTGTTCCAAAGGATAAAGAACAAATAATTAAGGACAAATTAAAAAATATATATTAAATATTGAGATAAATCTAAATTAAAGCTTACAAAAGGAAGCAAATACTAAATTAAAGAACTTATTATAAAAAAGCATACTTTTTTAAAATTTGAACCTTATAAAAGGACCTTATGTTAATAAACAAAGGAAAAAAAAAAAGAAAGAAAAGGGGAGTGCATGTGTCCTTTCCATACGAAGAAATGTGAGGGTCCATGGTTTGAAAAATGACAATGTTAATTGGCACAGAAAGGAAATCGAGACTGCCAAATTTGACCTCCAACCATAGAGAAAGGAAACGGCAGACAAATGGTAGCTGTGAAAATGAATTGAAATCAAATTATCTGGGAAAAAAATTGCGTTGAAAAATCCACCATCTTTACTTAATCATCTCAAATTCATATAAAAAGGCGTCTGGAGGATAGGGGTGAGGTTTGTGATAGGTCTGTGCATGGGTTCCCTCCCCTATGGAAGAGAGGGTTTTAAATTGTTAAAATAATATACACACACACTCTCTATGTCTCTATACTCATTTTATAGTATAAGCTATAACCACTTGATCTAACATAGCCTCTGCAAAAGATGAAATCATCCGAAAAAAACAAGTGTGATACCCCTAACACTTTCTTGTTGTACCAAAATAGAGATCTGATTTAAATGAGCAAGTATAGACCTAAGAAGAAGATACGGCCTGACTGTGAGGTACATCAGCAGGTGTTACAATAATATGTAGATGGAGCAAAACCCACGCACATAAATACGCACTATAGTGACAACTGCCTCTAAAGGGTCCTGCTGCCACTGTGCGGAACTCTAGTATAGGAGTAAAGTTTTAACATATACCAAAATTAAACTATAAAATAAGTTTTATATCTATCAAGGCGGTTTACTATACCTAAGGGTCTGTTTGGAATGTTGGAATTGATCTTGATAGGGATAGAAATGAAAATGAAACAAGGGCAGGACAGGAAGGTGGGTGGCGGCGTGCGGAGGTTAAAAATGAGAAATAAAGAGATGGAAGTGAAATCTTTTGGGACAGAGTATGGAGCTGAATTCTGGCATTCCTTTAGCCTATTTAAGCCCACAATAAACTGATAAACTCATTGAGGCCCAAACAATATGGGCTGGAGGCCCAAAATACTATAGGCAACTTGGAGAGATGAGTCACGAGTGATCCTATGTGAGAGATTAGAGGAACCAACAATTAGCGCATGGGATTTAAATCCCCATTTGACTCGATTTTTTTTTTGTATTTGGTTGGGCCTAGCCCACTCTCTTGTAGGGGCAAAAAAAGAACCAACAATTAGTCTTTTTTACTATCTCGCATTGAAAAGAACCAACAATGACTAATAAGAGTTAGTCTAGTTAGTAAAGAGTTCGCTCATAACCTATAAAGTCATGAGTTCAGATCCCGCTATCGATGTGAAAACCTTATTAGTGAGCGATATGTAAGTACCCTTCTAAGTACTCTTTGAGTTTAGAGGCATGTTTTGGCTTTGATGAGCTTTTGAGACTCAATTTGTTGAAAATTTTTGTACCCAAAAAACAGAACGAACAATTATTTTTAAATAATAATTTTTTATTGTTTTTTAGGCTCTAGCCCTCTCTTTTTTTTTTTTGGCTAAAGCATAGGTATCCTCCTATTAGAAGCAATCTTATTTGAGGTATTGTCAGGTACTAAATGTGGACACCTCTCTCAGTGGAGATTCGAACCTTGGTTCTAGCCCTTTCTTGTACCAAAAGAAAATACACATGCAACATATCGACTTTGTAATCGGATGGACTTCCAAGCCCTTTGATGCTGGCCCAAAAATACAAGTTGAAGACCCAAAACCCTATTACCAATTGTTTGAGATGAGTGGTCTTATCATGAGAACAAAAAAAAGAACTAAATCCATCGTCCCAAAAAAGGGAAAATCAATGTACTATAATTTCATCTCATTTTGAATTAAATTATTATAATTTTTCTTTTTATTAATTTTTCATGGTTTCCTCGATTAAGAAGCATTAGTCCTTATACTTGTATTTTTTTTTTGTTTGGCAAAAGTATCAAATATATTAAAATGAAATGAAAATATTATGCACCCAAGGACGATGACATGTAATTCAGGAAGCGGAAAGGCAATAAAATATCAGTTTTATAAAGGAATGACTCGAAAAGGATTTGAGCACAAATGAACATCATTTTGCAAGGTTTCACTAAAATTTGAGTTCGGAGAGTACTGAGGAAATTGCTCTTTGTATGCGACAATGTTGATATGGTCAATGAACCAGAGAAGGTACAGGCAACTTGGATCAACCAAAGCACCATTAATCTCAGGTCAAAAAAAAGAAAGAGGCAAGGACCAAAAGACTGCAGTTTCACCCATCTGAAAGATTTAGTTGCTAGGTTTAGAGCTCCAAAATAGCATAGAATTTTTTTCCAGTTGCAAGATTCCATGAGGTATTGAAAAGAACCTCGAGTATCTTTAATAACCTTTTTTTTTTTTTTTCACCAGCAATCTTTAATAACCTATTCTGGGCATTTTACAGGACTTTTATGAAGAGCCAAATTTCTCTTGTTTCAAATGATATTACTTCTGATCTTTAATATAAGAGCTATTTAACTAATTTAAGTAAGTTAAGAAAGTTTGTTAAGTTAGTTATTTATAATAAGTCAATATTATCATTTCTAAAATACTCTTGCTAACCATAAGTACTAGTTAAAACTACCATTTGGTTGAATCTTTAACTTGTACAATTACTATAAGAACTATTTTGAAAAAAAAAAAAGATAAATATAAGAGACAAAGTGAGTTCAGATCTTATATTTAGAACCAAATTGAAAGTCAAATTAGCTCTTATATTAAAGACTGAAGGTAATATTTGTTAAGATAATAATATTTTTTTTTTGAGAAAATGACCACAAAATATCATATGAAAATAAAAAAGACAAAATAGGCATCCCAATGAGCAAAATGACTAAATAGGCATGAGGTATCAATCTGGAATTTTTACTTTTAACGTAAAGACTGAAATGCCCATGGAATGAGAGAAAAAGAAGCTGAAGGTGAAAAGAAAGCTAATAGAGGAAGATATTGATGAAACACGCAGAGAAGGAAAGAGGAATGTTAAAAATGCTATTATCTTACTCTTCCGCATCACTATTCTATAGATATTATTGATTTGGTGGGTTTTGATTGTGGGTAAGAGGGTTTGTAGTAAGAGAGGGAGTGAACCTGTGGGATTACATAAGTGAGTAGGAGTTGATGGTAGGGTTTACATTGTTCATTTTTGTGGTTGCTTAATGGTGAAATAGGGACAGGATTATTGGGTTTGAGGGTTTATATTCAGTATTT